GTGCTTCTCAACTTTAAAGAGGATTAAGACTTTCCTGAGGAACACCGTGACACAGGATGGGCTGAATGCTCTTGCCATGCTCTCCATGGAAAAAAAGCTTGTCACAAACATTCCTGACTTCAATAAAAAGGTCATTGAGAGCTTTGCCACTCAGAAGGACAGAAGGGCAAAGTTTCTGTACAAATGAGGGATCACACACACAAATGCATCCACCTGATCTTTGTATAAAGTTGACCTTGGCACAACACTCCAGAAATATTTTAACAGTGTAAATTTCTGGCATTTTGTCTTAGTGTTTACTACCATTACTAGAACAGTGACCTGCTCAAATGTTGAAATTAAACAATGTTTTTGTTACTTGCCTCTTGCATTGCTTATTTACCATTTATGGTCATGTTATTTTATGTGCAATTTAATGCAGTATTTTTCAACCTTGGTCCGCAAGGCAGCGTGCCAATAGTCAGACACACCTGGATTAATCAGTTTGTCCAATGATGTAAGACAGGAAATAAAAGAGCTGTGCTTAATTCAGGAAATGGTGAAGTTGTGCACAAAGCTCAGAAAGCACAAGTTTGTTTAAAAAAAAAAAAGGCACAGCCCCACCAAAAATATTTTTCACCAGCCGCCACTGCTTACAAGTAATGCAGCCATCACTTCCCTGCAGTATTTCAATTCTCCACAAGAGAGCAGAGGACATAAATGAGATGTGATACAGCATGTTTTTGAGAAAAGCACCATTGCTGTTTAAAGAGGCAAATGGCTTAGAAACTTTCAAATATTACAATGCACGTTGTTACAGGATTAAAATGTGAACACAATCAGACATCTATCTGAGAAATTAAACAGTTCTTTGAAACTTGACTGCATTTTTGCAGACTGAGATGCTGCAACCACCAGCTAAGTACTGCTTCCAGGCTAACTGTCACATTTCATCACACCTGAAACCTTGTGACTGTTGCAGATAAGTGAGTACACACCTAGTGGAAACTTCTCTGATGATATAGCTCTGCAGGTGACTGAACACTATGCACAGGTAAAACCCCAGCCCAGTTACTAATCACTGCTTTAATCCTAAAATGCATGTTTTGTTTGAGATACTGCCTGCATGAATTTATGAGTTATTAATGCTCTCATACTCATATTTGTGTGTATAAATAAATACAAATACATTTTACTTATAGCAATGATAAAAACTGAGAGGCAGCACAGGCCAATGAGCAAGAGTGTCCAACACCTTTCATTTTTTCATACTTTTTCCTTGAGTGTTTTTTTGTTTTATATATTAAGTACCAATATTATCTGAAAATAAATCACAGCCAACAAATTGTAGTTTATCCAATAAAGATTATTTCAAGAGAACAAACAAATAAAAATAATAGAAGTTTGTGCCTAAACTGTTTTATTGTATTTGGGTCAGAGGTGGAAAGTTATAGTTCTTGTGTTTATTCTAGAAAGAAAGTAACGATATGGATGATGAATCCCTGAGAAAGATATTGGCAAAACTCTGCAAAGTGGAAAAAATAAATAATAATAAACTAAATGTTCACTCAAACTATTCAACGTAGCTGCTTGTTATCTTTTAAACCTAAAACCCTGGATCTTCAGACAGCTTGGTACTCATGTCTGCATGTGTCCCACGTAAAGAGGCTCAGCTTGGATTCCACGTCTGAACAGTAAGAGGAAAACACACATACATCATAACAAAGAAAACAGTGTCTGTAAAGTAGGTTAGCTCTCAGTGTTTAATGTACCTCAGGAGCTTGCACCGAAAATCCTGTAGTCGAGGAAATGCTCTTTCCACGCTGGAGGTCTGCCTCTCATCGCTCTACAGTCGCTCTGCAGCAGCACTTGCTCTCGGCCTGTGATTTCTGTGTGTGTGTGTGTGTGTGTGTAATCAAGTAAATAATAAGGCTATAATGCCACATTGTTTTTTTTTTACATAGGCTTTAAAATGTCTTTTTAAGCTTTTACCAGAGACGTGGGGCCAGATTGGAGGCATCTACATATTCCCCCCATAAGTTGACCCCCCACCCCGTGACCAGCTTCTTCTGTTCCTCTGTTCCTGTCAAGTGATTTTAAAAAACACACACATACAACAAAGTATTTTCAGATTTGTTAAGAAACTAAACTTCAGATTCATCATACCACTTCTATGTATCATAGCAGACTTTTCCTGGTAGGGCCTTTATTCAGACAAACACAAGAGACATAAAAACTCGTCCACATCATTAAAATCAGTTAGTCCCAGCCTTTCCCACCAGATTTTTAGCTTTGCCTGAAAATGAGCTGGGACAACCCTCCAGATGTGAAATACTTGGAAGGATGTAAAAAAAAAACTTGCCACTCTAGTGATCTATTTGCAGATAATTTTGTATACAAAATATGTTATGGCAAAAACCTATTTCTAAGATATACTGCTTTCTTTATTTGTTCTTGAAGAGCAAGTCGCCCCCAAATCAACATTTTTTTGCTGATAAATTATATAAATGAGTCAATAATTTGGCGCTTTAGTGTATCTTAAGATTTAAATAATCTGCCTATAACTGTCAGTGTTGCGCCCTCTTCAGGTAAAAACTTTGCACTGCGTTTGAAAATAAATCTGCCATTGCTATTGACTAAGAGGTACATTACGACGTTCACTGGTACATTATGATTTCACAAAGTTGTGTGTGTGTGTGTGTGTGTGTGTAAAGCCTAGGACACACCAAAGGCAGACGCTTCGTCATTTTAAATAGAAGTCATTATAGTTAAAGAGGGACTGCACACCATCAGAAAATGTAACTCCACCTCTAGTCAAGATTTGAAAAATGCCATGAAAGTGGGCGCTGCCAGGAGGCACAGAGTGGCATGGCCAAGTGTGGGGAATTTCCATCCTGGGAGGGAGGGGGAGTGGGAGGAGACTGTACCGATGACGTGAAATTGTTCCAGCCACAATCACAAGTTTCAAATGCAGTAGCTACTGTTCTGCCACAGGGGGCAGCACAAAGACGTTTTTAGACCTAGATTCTAGATTTAATCAAATTGACACAAATATGTCAAAAATGCACAGAAACAGAAAGATTGCATTTGTAAAGACCCAATTATTCAGTTAATTAGCAAAAAAGGTTATTTTGGAGTCTCTTTGATGAGAGTGGACACACGGGGAGCACCGCACAGCGTCCCAGAAGCGCTGCAGCTGTTTACGAAGCTGTGGAGTACTTTATAACCGACATTACAACGTGGAACAGCTTTATAGCACAAAGTCAACTGCCAACACGAACCTAGCCACAGTTTTGATAACTTTAAAGTACTATTGATCTTAAAATATTCTAATATATAACGTACTTACCCATTTTTAATGAGTGGAGTCTCACAAAACACGATGGCAAGTCTGATCACATATAAACAATAGTCACTTCCTGCTTTCTGTCCTCAAATCCCGCGTGATGTTGTGACTGTCGAACAACTTTTCAAGAAGCCCTCAGAGGTGCGTTGCGTCCTGTGTGACCACTTGACTTCTCAAAATCTCGGGTGCTATGCGGTCCAGTGCGTCCGCCTCCGGTGTGCCCAAGGCCTAAGATTCTGGCAGGGGGTAACTTGCTCTTTAATGAGGATTAAAACGATTGTGTTCACTGCCACCAGCTGGTCTCACTAAAAATATTTTATTTTGTGTTCAAGAAGGACAAAAGACACAAATTACAACACACACAACTGGTCACAGTCACAACACAATTTTAAATGTCCTGACCCTTGAAGACAAGGGGCCACAACGTAATAGCGAGCCCAGTTGTGTGTGGGTCCCGGCTGGTCCAGGTACCATGGGGTGGCCAGAATCACCCTGAGTTCTGCTTTAGTTAGTCTGCGTACTTCACACAGGTAACAGCCGTGTTTCCAGACCTCCACCACTGAGGAAGTCCTGAGCTGAAACACAAAGCTAAGCAACATTAGACTAATGCAAACTGGTCAGCTGGTTATTAAATTGCTGAAATCCATAATCATAGTCCTCCATATCCTTCTGTGAATATTCACTAATGCAAAAAAGTTGCTTTTGATTCTAGAATTAATTTGTTGCTGTGTACTTACTCGTTCACGGTAGTCAAAAACATCCTGCCACACAATGGACGTCTTGTTGAGAGCTGATGTGATGTTTACAATTCTGTCAAAAAGGTGTGTTGGAGTGTGTCAACATGCCATTAAATGTATTTTCCCAACATCTTTAAACATGCATGATACCACATAACATACCTCTCCATGTAGAATGCATCCAGTTTGGGTAAGTCCACACCAAATCCCACCTTCTGCATAAAGGCTCGAATGTGAGGATTTGATTTCCTACAGAAACAAACAGTGAAAAATGTTGAACTTTATGTAGTTTGAATATTCTAAATGCATGCAAACATTATAAAATATTTACTAACCTACCAGCAAGAAAAGTCCACCTCATCTCATCCTAGATGAATATAGGAGTCAGGAAACACAGATGCCACTTCCTTAAACAGTGATGCCATGAACTGGTAGGTGGAGGGCAATGCTGGATTAACGGGTCCAAAGGTGCCTGATGGATGCCTCTTTTGTAGCAGGGAGTCAACGTCAGACTGCCCTGGCCATTATATGGAAATCAGTGTTATAATAGAATTTTAAATATTTTGTATATCTGTTGAACATTGAAGACTGAATTAACCAAAGCACACGCTGTACTGCAAATCAACAAATCTCCAGGCTTTCTAGGTCTTTCCAAGGATCTCTTAGGATTTTGGCTGATTTCGTTTAGCTCTAGACCATTTTCACAGAATACAAAAAAATACAGATCACCTAACCATTAAACCTGTTTGGATTCCGTTTTGAACATAATGTCATGTGTAATGTGATCAAATTCTTTCCTAAGTGTTGATTTGTAAACACTTTACGGTGTTATATATAACATGTAATAATGTCAAACCATAGCTTGAAATGTGCAAACATCGACTGAGTTCCACCAGTTTCCTTGTGTTTTCTGAGCTTACTTTGCTATTGTGGTCATCTTTAATTGGGTTGATGCCAAAAGGATATCTAATAACTAGAAAATTCCTGAAGAATTTTTAAAAAGGGACCTGCTCACTGGCAAAAGAGAGTGGCCGTGTGATTAATAAGTCATGATATTTGGGTCACGTTGGGGTGAACAACCTAAAATCATTTTATTTGGATTGTGTTGGGGTGATCACCCCAAAATCATGACATACACATGTCCCACGGCCGAACCAGTCGTTTTATGTGTCATTTGTTGGGGTGCACGCTCCTAATTAAGAGATAATTTCCTCTGGAGAAGAAGAGTAAGTCGCAGCACATAAAGTATGTGTGTTTGTACTGGTCTGGCAGATTGAGACATGCACACACTCAAAATGAAAACATTTTTGTGTTCTTTGCTAGTAATTTTGCCATGGTGAATCAGATCGCTTATAAAAGTTATAGCTACATTAAAGAGACAATGTGTAGTTTTTAACCATTAATTTCTGGAAATCTCCATCAAAATGTTGTTGAAAATGAATGAAATGATTCCCAGTTTGGCAGCTTCGTAACATATAACCATGAAAATTAGGTCTAAAATACATGGGAGTGGGTCTAAGCCTCTGGGAGGCTATTAGGACTATATTAGATGCCATGTTTCCTTCTACAGGAGCCCATGAGGACAAAATGCATTTACTGATTTGTAACAAACCATTAGAAAACTTTCATCATTCTTAAATGTTGTTTTACACATTTACCTCTTCACTTGTTTCCACTGATGAAACTGAGTCTGATGTGCTTTTCATTTTGCTGAAGTTTGCACTCCCCAGGGCTTTTTGACCCATTGGTAAGGTCTCACTCCAACACAAAAATACTGCCTGCTTCCAATGATTTAGGTATCTACTGCCCCCTATTCCCAGGAAAAATACACATGTCCGAACAACTCCCCAGGTACATAACCCTGCTGGCAGAGCAGCAGGTCCCCTAATTACTGAAAGAAAATCTACCCAGTGGTTAACGATATTTGCTAAAACCACAGACAAGAAACACGCAAAAAGGAAGAAATGTTTAAAAGGTTTGTACCCTATAACAAGTACCTAGATTCTAAAGTTTTACTGCACAAATGACATCTGGTCAACAGCTTAACTGGTGGAGGCTTATCCACACAAACCTACTTCTCACTGTGTCTTGTAATTTTACCTCTTCCCCAAAAATTTGTGTGTCCCGGTGAATCAAACTCCGGAAGGACCCTTATTCCCCGCATCCTGGCATATGAGATCACCCTCTTGACATCTGACTGAGTGTAGACGTGACTCACTGGATGGAAAGCCCCCTGAATCACAGCCAGATGGCTACGGCTAGGCTGGAGGATGCTTTCCAGCACTCACGGGGAGTATAGCAACAAAATGCCATCTCCAGGCACTTTGCAGAAAATCAACAGCCCTCTTTCATTCCCATACCTTATTGGAAAGGTTTGGAAATGTTCGACTCTGGTAAGGAAAGGAGGGGTCATCCACAATGTGCCAGTGAAACACGTTAAACTTACTGTAGGCCATTGCATCCTGTCAACAAAGAAACATGATGATGAAATCAGAAGTAAAACAAGCCAAACAAAAGCCATGATTTGAGATTGTGCTATCAGACCATTACCAGAGTTTTTAAAATGACTGGCACGGGTAAATAGTGACGTGAAGTGTCCAGTAAAAGTCCTCTGTACTGAAACTGAGTGGAATCTTCAATGTCTGTTCTGTTAACAAAGTGCTGAATAAAAGAGACATACATTCTCATGAAAATGTGTGTTGAATATGTGATCATTGTACAGACCTTGTGAGAATAAAGTATATATATATATATATATATATATATATATATATATATATATATATATATATATATATATATATATATGGAGAGAGAGAGAGAGAGAGACTCACTGTGCCAAAGTCATCCTGATATACCAACTGACTAAAGGTTTCCAGACCTATGCTTACAAATAAACACACAATCAACATTCTTATTCGAGTAAAAATGAAACACACACCCCATAATGAATATATCTTATTTAATATTATTAGAATTAGCAATGATTACCTCTCAGAACACCCCACACACTTTCAGCATTTACAGAAGCATGTCCAGCAGAGACACTCAGATTGTCTACAACACAAAAGAGAAGGCATATATTTATTTACAGTATAGCACCTTTATATTAAAATGTAAAAAACCTAAAAAAAAAACTAAAATTAGGGTTTAAAAATAAAGAATATATAGCACACTAGAGTGCTCAAGGAAAAACTACCTTGATCAGAAAACTAAGGGGTCTAGATGGAGTGTGATGGGTTAAATGTTTTAGTGGTATATGGGAAGAACTGAATTTTTTACAGGAAGCCAAAGATGGCAACAGGAGTGAAATGAGAGCAAAACAGGCTTATGAATATGAGAAAGGGAGTTTTAGGTTAAACAAAACATTTTTGGAGCTTTTTTCTATGTTATATTTCTAGTTCCTCATGAATAATACCCCCAACCCATTTTTGGCTGCACTCATGCATTTCGCAAGAATTTGGTCTAGTTCACTAGGCTACAATTTTTCAGATTCTGAGCTGAATTCTGCAAACACAAGGATGGAAACTAAGTGTGTCATCAGGCACTGCTCCTCCCCCTGAAGCTAGTCTCAGACCTGGAACCAGCCTCCGCTGGAGGTAGGACACTAATGCCCACTTTCTCCAAGATGCGGGCATAGAGCGGCTGATTTCATGCTGTAGATGAGAATGTGACCTTCATGTCACAGACTGCTTTAAGTCTCCACGGGTACCAGAGTGGATATTCTGACAAATTATTTCTGCACTGGGAACAAAACACCATCGTAAGAACCATGCATTCTATCCACAAAGATGCACATAATGGACAGCGCTATGTGTCTTCAGCCACTAATGTTTTGTAACAGACTTGGCAGCCCAATGGTAGAGTAACTGGGTGGCATGTTGTTTTGTACCAGTTTAACTCTCAGTCTCAGCAGTAATGCTTTTTCTTCTTTGTTTAGCTACACTTTCCAGTATGATGTTTTCAACCCTTTATTGGTAAACAGTTTAAAACATAAGGACTAATCATTTTCTTTTTTTTTTACTTTCTTTGGTTATTTTGCCAGTGTGAGTCCATGTGATGTGAGCAGAGTAAATTAAAATGATGCTTGGAAAAGACCAAATTCAATTATTGTTATAGGTGTGTTTTATCGGAGCAGGTGTGGGCGGAGCTTCACGATAACGGACTGTTTCATATCCAAGTATAATTTCAGGCTGACAAAAATAACTCATTTTTAAGATAAACAAATCTCAATAGTGCCAAAGGTAATAATTTATCACATGTTGTGCCTATTTTGCTTTCAAAGATCTAAAATAGCAAGTTGTTTATCACATATAACCCTTATATTTCACGGAAAATGATTTTGAGCAAGTAGAAAGTTGCATAACATCCTGTTACTTCCCAAAAATAAACTCTGATTTCCGTGTGTTTATGCTTACATCTCTCAGATGAATCCTCTTGAGGGTAACCCTCACAGTCCTGATGGTCAACGCTGATTTCAACAGTAAACAGCTCACCGTCACCAAATCCCAGTTTATTAACTCCTGCTGATCATGAGTGTAATTATTATAATTGTATAACAAATTACAGACATTTAACTGAGACTTTTGTACCTTAATGGGTCACAAACCAACTACGTTTTTTTGGCATTCCAAGCATGTACTGATGTGGCCTATTGTTAGTAGTTGTGTTGCTAGGACTGCTGTCTCTACAAAGCCCATTCATGCCCTTTAAGAGACAAAAAAGCCCTTTGTCAACATGTGGAAGCCTGTAATAAAGCCTTTGACTTTTTATAACACAAACACTATAAGGGATATTTAAAAAAATGACATTTTTGTATAATATATACAGTTGTCTACACGATTCAGTCAGAAAACAGAATTAATCATGTGATAATATCGCCTACCAGCAGTGTGGTCAGGGAATATGAGACGATGGTATCTTATGAATGCAGCATCCAGGACAGAGCAGCCCTCCTGTGCGGCTGATTGTCTTTGATAACCGAAATTTTAAAAGTGTGGGTTCAGCTGGTATCGCACCGAGGAGGTGATGAAAGTCTGTGATAATGGCCAAACCCCCTTCACTCCCTGTAGGCCCACCTGGAGGATGAGCATAAGGAGGAGATCTTTAATTATACAAGTGTGTTGTCCAGAATGTACTGAGCATGTGACTTTCATAGCTGCCTTTTCTCTGTCAAACTGAGTGCATCACCTGTTGCTAAGTGCTTATGAGCGCACGGGGTCACGTGACACGGTGTTGATTGATTCATTCTGCTTAAATACTACAAACATTACTACATGGACATGTAGACTGGTCACGTCTTCTGATACGGGTATTACTTGAACAACCTCAGTTTATAGGAAAACAGCTTAGGTTTGACCAATCAGCCGTTCCATACATTTCTAGTATATACTTTGTCATCTTAATTTCTATGTTGTGGCTATTCAAGCAGAATATTCCACTAATTTTGGCTGCAACAAAAACACAGATTTATGTAAATGAGAAGAACACGTCATCAGTATGAAATGTAAAAAGATTATGATTATTTTTGTCATTCTTTAGACATCCAGCCCTTTGTAACAAGCCAGTGTCTCCTGCATTTGGTCTTCAGAATTAATGACGCAAATATAACCAAATAAACTGCCTGCATCAACTTTCACTGTTTTTAATTTGATCAGAGTTCCCGAGATGAAGTTGTTCAAAAACCTAGTATCTTATCAAACAAACACACTGAAAGATCTGAAGTACCTCTTTGATTAATAATACTACTACTACTACTACTACTACTACCACTACCACTACCACTAATAATAATAATAATAATAATAATAATAATAATACATACGAGAAAGAATACCATATAATAGACTTTATTGATGCCACAGTGGGGATATTCACTTGTCACAGCAGCACCAACACTTAATATAGTATTAGATTTGCAGCAAACTTGGTTAGATATGTAAGATACACACTAGATGGCGATAACACGTTATTAGGCAACGCTAGGGCTTAGCCGTTTATGGGAAAGGGAAGGGGTGTGGGTATTTTTTAGAGATTTGATAATAAAGGTCAATTAGGACATTAGACGATCAATGTACATTTTAGCTGTTTGGACCTACTTTGAAATGTTTGTATGAAAACTTTGCCATATTTTTCTCCCTTTTCATCTGACGTAAGTCCGTCGTCAGTACGTGACGCTGCGTCTCTTTGTTGGCTTAGCAGCGGCGACGTTTTGTTGTTATTTTCGCTGCAGCCGAAAAACAGGCTCGGAAATTTTTCTTGTTCGTGTTGTTCCGCAACCTGCTACTCACACTTTAGACCTTTAGGTGTGCGAACAACAAGCTGGTAAACACCCCAGGAATGGACTCAGACGAGGGTTATAACTATGAATACGACGAAGAAGACGAATGCAGCGAGGACAGCGCCGAAGAGGAGCCCGAGGACGACACCCTGGACCTCGGTGAGGTTGAGTTGGTCGAACCCGTGGTGGCGGTCGGGGAACGAGACGAGAGCGGCGAGACTGGTGTAGGGGGCCACGGTCCTGGTGAAGAAGAGGAGGAAGACTACCGCTTCGAGGTTTTGACTGCTGAGCAGATCCTTCAGCATATGGTGGAGTGTATCAGGGAGGTCAACGAGGTCATCCAGGTAGGTATTTTGGTATGCCAGCGTTAGGAAAGACCGAGGTTCGGGATCGTATAGAAGGCCATGAACGTCAGTTGAACCGCTAGCCCAGTAAGAACAGTTTCATTGCTGAAAGGTGAACTAGATACGATTCATCATTATTTATGTATATTTCATATTGTGTGTGTTTTAAAATATCATTATGGTCATTGTTAAAAGTACTCAAGTATAAAAATTTCACGAGTTTATTCCAGGAAGTAGTCTAATCCCTGTTGAGAAGTTGCCAGCAACGTTTGCTAAGCTAACGTTAGCTTTTGCTAGCTAGCCACTAGCACCGTCCTCGAAAATCTAAAAGCTTTTGGTTGTAAAACGTGTCAACTATATGTTCGACTTCCAGCGAGTTCGCAATTTATCTGAACCTTCTTTTTTAATAAATACTCAACTGTTGAATTACCTGTAGCTATTTTAAGCATCAGGGTATGTTTGGTTATCGAGTTAAGCTAGTGACGATTATATCAACAAGCTATTGAATCATAATTCAAAAATAAAGACAGTCGGATCACATTGAGGGAATGTACTTTTGTTTAAACTGCGTATTATTCTATGACCCGGATGAAATCTCCGTTTTAGTATGTTAACTTGGGCCTCCATTTCCTCACTCACGTAGGTTCGCTTGGGTACAGAATAAAATGGAAAATAGTATTAATTGGATCACGTTTAGCTTTTTGAGGTTATTAAAGAGCAAGTCACCCCAAAATCAACTTTTTTTTTGCTGATAAACTACATAAATGCGTGTCTAATCGTGCTGCAGACACGTGTAGTCAATAATTTGGTACTTCAGTGCATCTAAGTTAAAATTTAAATATTCTGCCTAAAACTGTCAGTGTTGTGCCGTCGTCAGGTAAAAACTCTGCACTGCTTTTGAATTTAAATCTGCCACTGCTATTGGCTAAGGGGTATGCTATGATGTAAACTGGTCCTTATGATGTCACAATGTCATTGTGAGCCTGTGTGTGTGTTTGCGTCTCTGCCCTCTCGGTCTGCCAGGCAACAGCATTTGTTGCATTTTTCAAACATGAAGAGGGAGTTGAGTAAGAATCTGGCAGGGGTTGACTTGCTCTTTAAAGGACTAAAATTGAGAGGGGCCAGTTGAGGTGGCTCGGGCACCTGATTAGGAAGCTGCATGGACGCCTCCCTGGTGAGGTTTTTGGGGCACGCTCACCTAGGAGGAGACCTAAAAGAAGACCCAGGACACACTGGAGGGACTACGTTTCTCGACTGGCCTGGGAACGCCTTGGGATCCCCCTGGAGGAGCTGGCCCCAAGTGGCTGGGGAGAGGGAAGTCTGGGCCTCTGCTTGGGCTGCTGCCCCGCGACCCAACCCCGGATAAGCGAATGGGAATGGGTGGATGAAGGGCTAAAACGTTGCTTTAAAAAAATAAAGATGTACTACAGCTTACTAAGAAAAAACGTCAGTTCTGTGACTTGGAACCAAAGCTTTTTATAATTTTTTTTTTTTACAGCTGAAACAAGTCTCCTTTTCCTTTAAGAAAAATGTTTGTTGAGAAATAGATCACTCATGAAATAGTTATTTTTTGTGTGTAAAATAATAGTTTATTTATAATAAAAAATCAATTTGGATATACAGAAATTATTTTGATCCCATTTTACTTTGTGCATGGATGCAAATTACTAGCAGCAAATAACTTTTGAAACATGTTATTTTGTATTTTTGTTATACGCTAGTTTTATTATTTTTCTTAAAGATGTGGTTCACTGAAAAATCATTTTTAAAATAATTTCTGATTCTAATGCATCACCCAGAGTTTTTCATGTAGACTGAGCATTAAAATAGTCTCCTACACCTTTCTTCTGTGTTAGCTTCATGATAGAAAATAAACTGTTAAACTCTAGGATTTAAAAAGCCTGACAAATCTATGTCACATGGTCACTTAACTTTCATGGACTCACCCATCTTGACTCACAACGGGGAAGGCTGTTGTTGGTTTAGCTTCCAGGAAACGGCAGAGAGTTTCTTGGCTAGTTGAAGCTAATTGTTAGCATTAGCAACTCCACCACACTGCAGAAGCCCCTCCAGGTTTGTGTTATTTGTGGAGATAAAACATGTTGCAAAGTAAACAGTCAGTGGTAGTTACATTTCTGTTAGCCAATCAGGGGTAAGATGTCCAATTGTCAGGAAGCAAGATTCCAAATCCATCCGTCTGAAGCTTTCCTCTGATCTGGCAATCTTCTAGATCCTGAAACAGGTGCTCTGGGTCTTTTTGTACCCAGAGTATGACTTAAAAAAAGGCATTCATTCCCACTACAGACCACTGCACATGTATTGATTAAACAAGTGAACCACACCTTTAAAAAATTATTAAAACTAGGTGTGTTAACAAGTGAAAGAATAGAATGCTGTTTTTATTTTTTTGAGCTGAAGAGTTCTGGCTCTTTAAAATAACTGGCGTCGTCATTACTGATTTAGTTTGCCATCAAACTTGATTTTACCCAAAAGCATTGTGCATAAAGTACACCACATTCCTTTCTCTGTCACATCTTGCACACATCACTGGCAGGTGTTTTTTGACATAAATAGTTTGTGTTTATCTCTGTATGATGAAGATTCTACATCTAATCCTGGACTCTTGTGTGTTACGGGATATACTTTTTTATTTGTCCTGTTAGTCAGCACACAGTTTGGACTATTTCCTCCACAATGTTGCAGAAAAGAGAACAAACTCTAGTAACTCACAAAGCACTAGTCAACATAGTACAAAAGTTTTCTCTCTTGGTTGCTTATAACAATTAAAAACCAAATAAACAGATGTGGGAGTATTCTTCCAAGTCACACTGGTCGAAAAATAAAAAAAAGTCTCAAAATGTGACTCCAACTCTAAATCTCTGATAGAGATTAGACCAATAAAAACAGTCTTGTGAATATCAGCTTGACTTCATGTGCTCAGTAAGGTTTGATGTGCTGTGTAAAATTGTGTCAGCTGGGGTAAACAAAAGTTGTGAATTGTTATTTAATCAATCGTTATTTTAACTTTTGACTTCTGGTTTTTCTTTTATACGAACTTGACAGTCTCACTTGAGAGATTCAAATGTCATGCTAATGCTTGGTGATTTTACCATATTTGTTCGGGTTATAGTATTACTGAGTTGTAAAAAAAAATGTATTTGTTTAGAAAAATAATGTGTTAATTGGAAAACGATGCAATGAACTTGGTTATATTTATTTCATCACACAGAAAGTTAATAAAACAGTTGAACATAATCCACCCAATATCCTTAGATTAATCTCTAAGCAATTTCTACTAGTGAAGGTTTTATGAATTGTTCAGCTGTTGCTGCCTCTAGATACATTGGATTCAGTGAAACAACCGTTGTTTTTGTTAACAGTTACATGGAGACAATTCCCATAGCTAATCCTATGCAAGCTGAGAACAACACCAAGTGTTTTCCTTAAACAGTGGAGCCCTAGTGCCGGATCATAATTCATTCTCGCTTGTGTTGCATCAGTTTACTAATGTCAGGATCTGTCTTTCTCTGTTGTTATTCTCGGTGGCAACACAGATGTGTTTATGCTACACGTTACTGCAGCTGCCGTGCATTTAAATAGGCATGTATTTTCAAACACAGTGACATTACATTCTAATTTAGTGACATCTTTTTAAAAACTGGGGGTTAATATGGATTTTAACAAGACAAAATCCTTCTCACATTTAAAGCTATCCATAACCTTTCCCCCCATACCTGTCTGACCTCATTCACATTATCTCTCCCATCCGTTCCCTCAGATCATCATCCTCTATCACACTCTGTCCCACCTTTCCATCTCAGCTATATGGGGAGCAGAGCTTTCAGCAGCTCTGCTCCCCGTCTCTGGAATTCTCCCCCTCAAGCCATCTTTAACTCTGACTCACTCTCCTCCTTTAAATCTAGACTCAAAACCCACCAGTTTCAGACTGCATACTGCTAGTGTCACCTTTTCCATCTTCATTGATATTATCTAGTTTGTATTTTTAGGCTTCTGTGTGTGATTTTAACTGTTTTTAACTTGGTATCTTTGTTGTTATTTTATTGCTGTGAAGTATCCTTGTGTCCCTTGAAATGCGCTGTTAAATAAAATGCATTATTATTATTAAAATCCATAGATGAACTATGATTGGTTTGTAAGATCTTAAATGGATTCAGGTAAATGATGTGACTACTTTTTTCCCTGATTTGCAAAAATTGTTGAGGGCATCTGTGTTCTTTTACTATTGTGGCTTTAAAAGTCCCAAAATATAAAGTTTAATACAGTTGTCCAAAAGTAACATCAAGACACTTAATTTTTTTCTTATTTTTTGGTATTCATATATCTGGTATTTTATGAGGTTGAGCTTGTGATTGGTGTGGTTCATACTGGTAAACCTGAAATGCAAATCAAACCAGAAATCTGAGACAAGATCTATTCTGCAGGATGAACCAAATGCTGCTGGAAATTAGAAATAGTCTGTTAGATTTTATAATTATATGTATACTTAATAAAATAGTATTTTATTGACTGATACAAAGCTTAAGTTTTGTTTTCCATGATGATTTTTAGTTTGTTGTAGGTTTTTATGGTGAACACAATGAAAGTCAGCGACAGTTTATTTACAAAAATGTATTTTTCAGCCTTTATATCAATCATGCCTTGTTTCTTTTGTTCTTTTTAAGAATCCTGCAACAATAACACGCATCCTTCTTAGCCACTTCAACTGGGATAAAGAAAAGCTTATGGAAAGGTAGGAATCTCAGAATGACAAAAGTTCTTTTCCATTTGAACTTAAAACTTACCAACTATCAAACTGCAGCTGAGAAGTGTCTGGAAGCTCTTAACACAATTTGTTGCTTGTTTGTTTTTATTTAGATATTTTGATGGTAATTTGGACAAGCTTTTCTCTGAGTGTCACGTCATCAACCCCAGTAAGAAGCTTCAAAGGCGTCCTCCAATCAATACTAGATCATCTGCACAGGACATGCCATGTCAGATCTGCTACCTGAATTTCCCCAACTCGGTAAGTGACATAAACCAAGTGGAGAGTTACGTTGAAATTTACTACGTATAAAAGGAGTTCCTAGTTGATTGAGGTTATATTTTAACTTTAATGTTGATAAAAGGGACTATTGGATTTTACATTTACCTACGTGATCTTCAAGGCTATTTTAAAAAGTAGGCACGGTTTCTGAAATGCAACACACTCAGTTTGTAATTTATTAAATTACAGACAATTTTTTTATTACCGTAAATCCTCTAATACAGGCCGGTATTCAATTAAAGGCCGGGTCTCCAATTTTGGCTGGTGTCGGAGTCAGCGGAGGTGCATAATGGCCGGTCTCCTATTGTGGCCGTGTGGAATGTGGTAACAAGCAAGTACGGGGGGCGGTTGTGTCATCGTCTCATTTTTGATTTGCCAGTGACAGACCGCGAGGGTAACGTTAACCGTGCGGAGACGAAGAGGAGGCGAAAATTTGATATCAAGTTCAAAGAGAACGTGCCGTTTATGCTGCAGAACACTCTGGGGAGCAGTAGCAGGGGTTGTATGAACTAGTCGACTTCACTATAGTGACTTTTTATGCCTGTCGTTGACTAGTCGCTGTCACGTGATAATGACCGGCAAGATGCAGCCCTCGGAAAAGACAGCAGCCTGCTGTCAGCAGGTGACAAGCTCCTGCGCTCGGGGGGGCAACGCGCTGTGCCAGTGCGTCGGTACTGACGCGATCGTTCATGTCGGTTCATTTCCTTTAATGTTTTCTGTCTTTTATTTGCGCCTGATGTGTATCGCTGCTGTGGAGCGGGTCACATCACCTTGTCCTCCGACGCACTGATCACTGATGCGGCCGCCAAGCAGGGAGCGCTCCGCTGTTTTTGCGGTCGGATCTGCCTCCTGAGCACGGCCACAGTAACAATCAGGTGTTGCCAAATTATTTAACACGCGATCGTTCATGTCTGTTCATTTCCTTTGATGTTTTCTGTCTTTTATTTGCGCCTGATGTGTTTCGCTGCTGTGGAGCGGGTCACATCACCTTGTCCTCCGACGCACTGATCACTGATGCGGCCGCCAAGCAGGGAGCACTCCGCTGTTTTTGCGGTCGGATCTGCCTCCTGAGCACGGCCACAGTAACAATCAGGTGTTGCCAAATTATTTAACACGAGATCGTTCATTTCCTTCAGTGCGTCGGAGGACAAGGTGATGTGCCCGCTCCACAGCAGCGAAACACATCAGGCGCAAATAAAAGACAGAAAACATTAAAGGAAATGAACCGACATGAACGATCGCGTCAGTACCGACGCACTGGCACAGCGCGTTGCCCCCCTGAGCGCAGGAGCTTGTCACCTGCTGACAGCAGGCTGCTGTCTTTTCCGAGGGCTGCATCTTGCCGGTCATTATCACGTGACAGCGACTAGTCAACGACAGGCATAAAAAGTCACTATAGTGAAGTCGACTAGTTCATACAACCCCTGCTACTGCTCCCCAGAGTGTTATTTGCGCCTGATGTGTTTCGCTGCTGGAGCGGGGCACACCTTGTCCTCCGACGCACTGATCACTGCGGCCGGCAAGCAGCGAGCACTCCGCTGTTTTTGCGGTCGGTAGATCTTTTCGAACTGCTGTTCAAAGGTAACTCATAAGGTGAATATATATGAACCCAGGTAGCAGTTTCTCTTTAGGACTGAGAGGAGATGCAGGAAGATAATAAACAGACAGGACAGAAAAATAGTCAAATAAAAACAAGTTAGTTTTTGTACCTGGTGGTTGCAACAAACAGACACCATTGAAGGTAATCAGAAGTGAGGAACAGAAAATGAAATAATTATTTTAATGTTTAGAGCAGCAGGAACTCTGAGAGGCTGCAGGCGCATCAGTGAGTTTGCGGCCGCTGCGCAGGGGGAGGGGAGAGAGGGCTGAAGCAGAAACTACCGTTGTTAAAAGAAATGTGTTTAACTTTGAAAATGTGGGCGCAATATTAATTGTCAAAAACTCCAGCGAACCATTAGTTAATTTAGCTCAAATAGAAATAGAGGCCTGCCTCTAATACTGGCCCCCTTCCAATAAAGGCCTGGAGCTTGATGGGCTTGAGTCAAATACAGGCCCGGGCCTGTATTAGAGGATTTACGGTATTTTGTTTAGAAATGTAAACAATTTTAGAATTTTCCTCAAAAATACTTTAGATGCATGTTGACCATGATTTTATTTAACTGATTCTTTTGATGAGATTTAGTTAACCGTTTCATTACCTAATGATACTAATTGACTTTTGCAAGATAAATCAATGTCCATTTACGTAAAATTTACTCCAACAATTCTTAAAAAATATTCTGAACTGGAAATTTAAATGAGCTAATCTTCCTTTCTTTTCCTTACCTTTCATTATCTTATTCATTTTTGCAAAGCAAAGAAAAACTCATTCAAAACAAAGGCAGATATTTGCATTTGACTGTAGAAAATCTCCCCATCTAAAGTTTCACTTCCAGAGGTAAGGATTTTCTGTACTGATTCTAGTAGCTGCTTCAAATAACACTGTGGATTTGCTGCCACGGTGTGTCTTTTGAGTGTTCCACCAAACTTTATAATAATATTACTACAATGGAAGCGTTTTGAATAAAGATCACGCTTTCCTGCAACAGAGGGTGATGTCATGATGTCATGAGCCCCAGCTGACATCACTGCTTAAAATGCAAGAAAACATGGGGAGTAACTTTCACATTTGTAAACAGTATCAGCTGAGATGGCAAACTGGAGTGATGTAGAAATCCGGTAGCTTATGGCCGCTAGAGCTGAAGCTCAGATCGCAAGACAGTTCACAGGGAATGTGAAAGAAAACCTTTGGGAACGGCTCTTTGAGGTAAACGACTCAAACAGCTCCTTTCAAAAGACCATTAGTCCCATCACTAGGCTTCAGTTGGAAACCAGTTCCATCCAAGATAAAAGCATGTCCATAGCAGCTCAGAGACCACATGCACCCCCTTTCTACCAACATCGCTTTATTTTTTGTGACAAATGCATGATCGTTACTGCCACAGGCTGACCCCTCCCTGATGCCACCTCAGCTTGGCGGCAAAGTGGCACCATTGTCTTTTGAAATAGGTTACTGTTAAACTGAGAAAGTGTTTCATCAGTTTGTTTGATGTTCTTGTGGAACTTTGTGTTTTGTTTTGTAGCTTAACCAGCATATTTCTTCTGTTAGCTCTAGGGGGTCAAGAGCAATGCCCAACACAGAGACAACCTTGTTAATTATGTTTTTGGTTCAGTTATTCGAGTCATTGGTTCTGTTGCTGCTGACAATAATAGGCTACAAAGAAAAATCAACAGCACTTTTCACTACAGCTCTATTGAAGCTGTACTGTATCTTGGTGAAAAAGTCAGTGTTGCGTTTCCAGTACAGTCTGTTCTCCAGCTGAGTTCTCTGCAGCTTATATCCACCATCACCACCTTGCCTGGAATGGAGGTAGTTTTTGGCCTATTTCTACTCCCTGTAATGTCTTCAGTCTCTTGTCTTCACATTCAGGACTGGGTATTGTTGCCACATCATGCCACAAAGCAGTCTACCAAATATTTACTATAATAAGTAATGTTTATCAATCTCTGGAGAAAAGAAAGCACCTCCTCTCTAAGAACTTGTCAACAAAGTGCAGCCTACTCTGTCCAGATAGGAGTCGTCCCATTGAAGAAGGTGGCTAAGGGCTTCTAAAGGTACTAACTCATATGAGAAGACAAGGCTTAAGTTGCTCTGTAGTCTGTGGTGGTCCTTGAGGCAGATCTGAACTGGAAGCAAACCCAGTTTAGCACACTGTTGTTTGTCTTTGCAGGGTGTGACCTTGCCCTGCTTATCTGTAGCTGTATAAATTCCAGAAAAGTTGCTTGCACATTGTAGTCAGTGGTAGCTTTAGACATATGGTAGTCAGTGATGTGATTGTGTTGAAATCAAAGTCCTCATACACCAGCTGACTTGGATGGTCTGTTTTGTCTTCAGCACGACAAACCCAGTGTGTGTTTTTCTGAATTAGAAGCTGATTGCAAAACATGCTCATAAACGGAGAACTCCTGTTCCTCTGCAGTCTTGATAAATTTGACTGCAAATGCAGTTTCTCACAGTATTATCTACTCTGGTGACTATGCAATAGGAGGCATGTACCTATTGGCCTAGCTAAATCCAGGTGACAACCTTTTTTTGGGCTGGGCAGTGGGGCTGGGTAAAATATCGAAAATGTATCGTTATTGAAAGTTGTGACTCTAAAGCCTAATTTATACTTCTCTGTCTGCATCAGTACGGAGACGAGCAGCACCATTATGCGCCGGTGCAAAAGGGCTCACCGACGAGCGCGCAGAGGCTGACTGAGACATGCCCAACTTTTAACTATTCAACAAAAGGGACAGACTGCAAGCTTGTGATTGGTCAGGATGCTGCTTCCTGCGATCTCGTCAACAGCACAGCCATTACCCCGTCATAAAGTAAAACGATTTTTAGCGGCAGACATGGAACAGATTAAAGAATACCTCATAGAAAAAGTCTGAAAATATGAACGTTTATTCACCTGTGACTGAAGGAGTACACAAATCTGCAGCAAGCTTTTTATTTGTGGGCAGAAAAGATGAGAAATTTGGCTTTAGAGGTGGAGAGGAATGAGGTATAAATTTTTTCCGTGTTATGAAGTCTCTGAAATACATTAAAACAATATAAACACACCAGTAGATAGGTACACCGTTGTGGACTGGATACCTGACTAATGGTTGCAGGATACCTAAGAAAAGCGCTACGCCCTCTGTTGTCCTGGCAGAGAATTGTTTTGCAACACTCCCCAGGTGGCGCCGAAGTCTGAAAGTAAAATGTCTCTCTCAATTTGTTTGCCTCGCTTCCTCATGGAGCTGACAGAGAAGTATAAATTAGGCCGATAACCAAGATCCTTTTGCCCATGTCAGTAAATTTGATAATAAAAAATGAATAGATGTGTGTAGGTTGTCAATGTTCATGTCCCTTTATAAAGCTGTACCACCTGGAGTCCTATGACAACGGACTCAATAACACGTGACAGCCCCATCTAGTGAACAACTTTTGTTTTTGTGGATAAATGTAGTTATCGTCCATTTATCGTTTTCAATGTGATCTCCCCAATATTCTGTGATGTTAATTTTAGGCCATATCGCCCAGCCTAGTGATTCACTGAGCTTGAAGTAAGTTGAGCATTGACCCGTCACTGCTGGAAAGTCAAGAACTTTAGTGGATGCTACTTGTACTCTGGTTAGATGTGAAAAATAGTGTTGAGTCGCAAAGAGCTGGTGTGGACCTCCAATTGTCAACGAGGGAGAGACGGGCGACATGCTGGACAGGCCACCTGTCTTATCACAGGGTCACATGCAGACACGCCTAGGAACAATCTAAAGCCAACCTGGCAGGCATGCTAGATGGTGCTTACATACATGGATACAGTAACTGCTCAATTTTTATATGTATAAGTCAAAAAAACGATCTTCTGTTAAAGACCACTTTTATGTAGATCTCTGTGAAGACCTTTGTCTCATTTGGATGTGATTTTCTTTTTCTCATTGATGACTTGATGTTGAAGGTTTTAAGTGACCTGATGACCAGGTGTGTTTGTAATTTATTGATGTTTTTCTTGCAGTTCTTTACAGGCCTGGAATGTGGACACAAGTTCTGCATGCAGTGCTGGGGAGATTATTTGACCACCAAAATCATAGAGGAAGGAATGGGACAGGTACCAGCTTTTGTTTAAAAGACTAGGTAGTCTTCAAACCGCCAGGAGCAAGATTTGCATTCTTCATTTAGGTTTGGTGGTTCGTTGCCATAGTGACAGAGCAAGCCATCAAGGCAAATTGTTTGATAAATATGAGCTCTGTTGTTCACACAATTAGCACCAGTTGTCAGAATGATGATGTCATTGACTAACTCACTAATGGTTTCCACTCTGCGTTGTTTTCCCAGACTATTTCTTGCCCTGCTCATAGTTGTGACATTTTGGTTGATGACAACACAGTCATGTGAGTACTTTATGGAGTTTCTAGTTCTGCCAGTGGAAAAATAATGCAAAAAAAAAAAAAAAAATCAGGATAGATACTAGAGCTGAGGAAAATAATCAAATAATTGATGCATCGGGATGCGGCATCGTAGAAGAGTACGCCATAATCGATTATAGTGGAATGTAGTTTTGTTTTTTTAACAGCGGCACCAGCGCAGCATCCAAAGCTGTCAGAGTGAGCGTCCTCCACATTTACAAAGTATTGTTCCACCTTAATGTGGTACTGCAGGGCTGAGCGCTGGAGTTGTAACCAGACACCAAACCGGAACCGAATCAGCCCGACCGGTTCTGTTGGATTTGGGCCGTGAATTATGTTAATTGAGCGGGTTGTCACGCGGCGCGCTCCGCTCGCTTGCACAGCAACTGAGAGAAAGAGAGAGAGGGACACTGTCTGCTCACACTAGAGAGAGGATCGGAGGACGCTCCTCCAAACACGCATTATTATTTTCATAATTTCATTATTATTTCTGCTCGAAGCGCTCCGTCAGACCGAGTGTTGTGATGCTGGGAGATCCGGTCTTGGGGAGGGGGCGGGGTCAATGACGGCAGCAGCGTAATCATCTGTCTCTTTTATTTAGGGACACGGAGAAGTTAAAAGGAGAGAGAAATAGAAGATGGAAGTTTTTATTCCACTTCATTCTTTTGTTTCATGATGATAAACTGATGTTAAATTCAGCTTAAAGAGAAGCTGGGAGGAAGCTTTGGTTCATTTTAGGTTACAGGAGGTCTTGTCTCCTGTCTGCTCCTCCAGAGACAGCATGGACATGAGGGTTACATGGTGAGGGTCCCACAGGACAGGTTAGTGGAAAAGTTTGTAGTTAGCTGGTTAGTGAAGGAGATCCATCAGCTGGGTAATTTAATCCTAATCCAGCCCACTGCCTTCTGCTGGTGTTATCAGACAGAAAAAAACACACATCTTAAATATTATTGGAAGTGTAGAATTTGTTTTGTGTTTTATTGTTTTCTGCATCAAACAGAACTTGATTCATTCTCCATCATTTCAGAAATGAACCACTGGGTTCAAATAAAATAACAAACTAAGTCAAACATTTCATTTGGTGTTATTTCTGACACCCTTCAACTGCGGCATAAATATTTGACTCTAGAGCTGCTCAGAGACATTAAACACTCATATATGAACCCATTATGTATTTTATTATTACATTATGTGTCCGGTAGGGTTTCAGTACTTTTTCAGATTTTGTGAGTTTTTGCAAATCGTGTTTTTCTCAGCCTGAGGCGTGGTGTTGAATGAGGAAACAGATGGTTTTACTTTGTTAAATCTTCTTAAATGTTTAAAATGTTTTGTCCTAACCTGTTGTGAATGGAGAGATTTTGAGGGATGGCAGGTTGTGTCAATTACGTTTTTGATTAAAAAAAAATCAATAAATACAAATTAAAAGCTATTATCTGACATCTTCTATTTATCGATGAAAACAAATTAATATGAAATAATCGTGATGCATCGGGATATTGAATTGAATCGTTGACCCAATTATCGTAATCGAATCGGGAGACAAGTGAAGATTCACACCTCTAATAGATACGTCTGCATAAACACTAAATACATTTTTTGTTTGTAGTTTATTTGTTAGGTAATGAACTGTTTTTATATTTTTTCATATATGTCTTTAGGTGACACCAGTTTCATATAACCTATGAATGATAATTCTGTATTTTCCAACAGGCGCCTCATAACAGACTCTAAAGTGAAGTTGAAGTACCAGCATTTAATCACGAATAGTTTTGTAGAGGTAAGTTTTGGGGATGTGAATTTGCAGCTTGAAGAGGAAATAGTTCTGTGTCTTAAATACACTAAAAATGTAGTTAGAACAATTTAACAATAAGAAATATATGTTTGTGCTTTATAATGACATTTATAGTGATCTTAAAATCATAATAAACAATGACTCACACTTGTATAGCACCTGTCAGGGGACTCTAAAGCACTTTATCATTAATCCACTCACACACACATTCACACACTGGTGGTGATGAGCTACAATGTCTTGCTCAAGGAGACAACAGCAGGATTCTCTGTCCGGAGCCGGGATCGAACCTGCAGCCTTCCGATTACTGGACAACCCGCCCAACTTCCTGAGCTGCTGCTGCCCTAAATTATTATACTTATAATGTGCTGTAAAATAAAGCAGGTTTAGTTACTGAAAAGATTTCTTATAAATGAGAAACACAAACTGCATTTGCTTCTAATTACAAGGCAGGTTTCTTCCTGTTTCCTGCTCTGTTTTATGATCACTGATGTTTATTGTGTGTCTTTTTTTCCAAAATTAGCTTTTTTGTTGTTATTGTTGACGTGTTTTCAAATGTTCACAAGCTGTTTTACAGATTGAGTTAAAAGCCTCACCAGCAGGGTTTCCAACACCAACTAAGTCTTACAGACAAAACAACAGTTGCTTTGTTTTAGTCGTCACATTCTTAGTCTGATCAAATAAACCTGAATTTAATTTAGCTGATGGTAGCCAGAGAAACTAGAAGGGGGAAGAGGAGGAATATTCATCAGGGATTCATTTGTGGTTTCATGAGAACAGTGGAGAGCAAATCCAGCGTGCTAGCAAGGTTTACACTCAAAAACAGTAGTCAACTGTAAAACGTTCCATTAAATATCAGTTTAAAACAAAAAGATGTTTTATTTTGGTTGAGTAAATGGTCACTGTCCAGAAGCCAAAGCTATTAACATCACTAACGCTGGTTCTACGGTGGGAAGAAGACAGTACCCTGGTGGTTCTTCTAACAAAACTAAATTATTCCTCAATGATGGAAAATAGATCCCCGTGTGTTTATAATAATGCTGTTTTTTTTTATATATTTGTGATTCCTTTAGCTTTTAAACTCCTGTGTGCCTCCATGTTTTAGGTGATTTAACTGGTTCTAAGTGTGTGTCATGCTACTTAACTCTGCATTAGTCTCAGGATGGTTAGCTTGTTTGTCCCGGCCCATGTAATCAGTACTCTCAAATCTCTGTTTTTAGTGCAATCGACTGTTAAAGTGGTGCCCTGCACCAGACTGCCATCATGTTGTCAAAGTCCAGTACCCAGATGCCAAGCCAGTGAGATGCAAGTGTGGCCGTCAGTTCTGGTAAAAGAAAAAAGTCTCTTAAAAAATAGCAAACAGTTTTATTAGATCAACCTCTTCATTGTGTTTTTAAACGTCGTGTGACTTTTGGGTTCTTTTGCTGCAGCTTCAACTGTGGAGAGAACTGGCATGATCCTGTGAAGTGTAAAGTATGTTAAAATAAAAATATAACCCTTCTATTTAAGTTTTACCTACATTAGTAACTATTGTAAAGAGGATTATTCCTTATGTGTTTTGTTCTTTTCAGTGGCTGAGAAAATGGATTAAGAAGTGTGACGATGACAGTGAAACTTCAAACTGGATTGCAGCAAATACCAAGGTAAGTAAACGATTAATAATTATTATAATTATAGTTGGTTTAAGCTTTATTGAGATGTTAATGAAGCCCTGTAAGCCCATAATTGACTACTGCTCATTTAATTCATCAGGAGTGTCCAAAATGCCATGTGACCATTGAGAAAGATGGCGGATGCAATCACATGGTTTGTCGGAACCAGAACTGTAAAGCCGAGTTCTGTTGGGTCTGTCTGGGCCCATGGGAACCTCACGGCTCCGCCTGGTAAGAAACCATGTCTTAATGCTTAGGTCAGTGTTGTGCCTGGCGCATGGCTTGGTTCTCCCTAAACAAGTAGAACGTAGTGGTTTTAATGGTCCGTAGCGTCTAAAGTAAGTTGGAACAGGCTACATCACCTTCTACCTGATCTCAACTCTTTTCATTCCTTTTAGGTACAACTGCAACCGTTATAATGAAGATGATGCTAAGGCTGCAAGGGATGCTCAAGAGGTAATTTTATACTTGATTATTTATGCAGTTTTATTTAGAAAGAGCAACCAGAAACATTTATAATGTGTATTTTGTTTTAGTCAAGATGGAGTTCTGGTTTGCAAAGCTAGCTGCCCTTTAAAGGTTTATTCATTCTGTTTCCCTGCTGAAGATGCTGTTTAGGAAGATTTTCTCTTGTCTCCATGAGTGAAAACTGTTTTTAAACCACAGCAAGCTTTGCTGCAGTGTGTGTTTGTGATCACAATAGAAGCAGAATGTGTGTGTCCTTGACTTAGTCTTCATGCTGTGTTGCAGCGCTCCAGGGCAGCCTTGCAGAGGTACCTGTTCTACTGCAATCGCTACATGAACCACATGCAGAGTCTGCGCTTCGAGCACAAGCTCTACGCTCAGGTGAAGCAGAAGATGGAGGAGATGCAGCAGCACAACATGTCTTGGATCGAGGTGCAGTTCCTGAAGAAGGCAGTGGATGTTCTGTGCCAGTGCCGCTCCACGCTCATGTTCACTTACGTCTTTGCCTTCTACCTCAAGAAGAACAACCAGTCCATTATTTTTGAGGTGAGGAAACAGGTGGCATGTTCATAAATACATAAAATTCCCTTCTGCTAAATTAGAAATGAGTCATTTTAATAGTATTCCTGTCAAATTGTAAAATTTTATTTTTGATTTCAAATGAAACCCTCTAGCGTTTACAGAATATCTTCAGGGAAAAACTGAATCTTTTTATTCGATTAAATCTTTAATACATAATTTTGTTGTCTTTGAATCTTCCTTCCGCCAGAACAACCAGGCAGACCTGGAAAATGCCACTGAGGTGTTGTCTGGCTACCTAGAGCGGGACATCTCCCAGGATTCCTTGCAGGACATAAAGCAGAAAGTTCAAGATAAGTACAGGTCAGTGGACGAGTTGTGATGCTGCTAGCTTTGAGTTTAAGGTTTCATGAACCTCGGAATAAAATCTTTCTTGTGTCTTTAGATACTGTGAGAGCAGGCGAAGAGTGCTGCTACAGCATGTACATGAAGGCTATGAGAAGGACCTGTGGGAGTACATTGAAGATTGAGGACACGTCCCAATGCAACGGACTATTGAGTACCTTGAAAAACTAGAGCGCTGATGCAATTAAACAGGGCAGCACGAGCCTTCTGTCGTCCCTTCTTTGGCAACCAACCACTTTTGCATCTTTTTTTTTTTGGATTTGTTTAACAGAAACCTTAAAATAAATTATATTTAAAGAAAGTGTAGAGTAATAAAAGAAAGTGTACTACAGTATTGTTAGGAACTGAGTGGAGTCTTGAGAAAGCGGGAAAAGTCCATCTTAAACTTCTGCATCCTTTTGGCCTGTATCGTAATACTCCCCTAAACTATCTTCTCTTATTTTTTTTTTATTATTATTATTATTTTGTTTGTGGACCTTTTTCTGTTTTGAGTTTGACTTTTTTTCTCATTAGTGTGAAAATGTTTTCAACAGCTTTAATTGTCCTGGCCACGTCTGCAATATTTGGTGAAATCCTGGCTCTGGGTGGCTGAATATTGATGGGCTGATTGTAAAGGGGCAAAGACATTTCAGGAGGGAAAAAGGAGAAAAAACAGACAAAGAAAAGAACAAATAGCAACTCTGTATTTTTCAATTTGTAAATAGTCCATATGCATGGAAGTTAAAGAGCAAGAGTGGCACGTGTTTGCATAATTTTGAAATATTTATTCTTTACTGATCTTGGGTGGAGAAAAAAAATGGTGTGCTTTTGCCTTGTAGGTTGAGTCTGTTTACTTGCTCCATAAAATGTTGGCAATAAGACATTCATCCTGTCACCCTCTGTCTCTTTATCTGAGTGAGGACTCTGATCTTCTCTGATGATCGGATGAGTAACTCAGAGAAGCACACAGTCAAGGCAGCGAGGTTGGTTATTTCACACACCGGCTCTGTTCCTTTACGCAGACGCTTTGCCGTTCCCTCAGTTGTTTTTAAAGATGTTTGACATTATTAATTATTTGCAAGAGCCAAATGAGTGACATTCACTCCTTTCTCTAGTTTTCATTTCCTGACACGGCTGGAGGCACTTGTGTTCAAAGCTCAGCTTGCACCTTTAGGGGTAGAATGGGGTTGACAGAATGTACAGACGGCACAGGGGGTCAGGTGTTGCCAGGACGACGCGGCTCGATGAGACTGAACTTTGCTTTAAACCAGATTGTGCAGATGGACTTGAGTTATCTATTAGAAGATGGGGAACTTCTTAAGGTTGCGGGGGTGTTTTCTAATATGCTTTAGCGATAATGACAGTATTTTTTTTTTGTACGTGGGTTTCAGCGTTGAAATGTCAGTGCCCCCTCCAGGCTTTTACATTGTTCTACGTGGTTTCGGCTCTGGTCGTCCAGCTCTCTGCTTGTGAATGCTCGTTCATGTCTGCAGCGGGACAGTCTTCACGGGACTGACGGGAACGGACATGATTACTACAGGCACTGATCCAAGTCAGAAAGATGACACCAAAGCATCGGCCATCATTAATACACATCCTTTTGCCCTAGTTTCAGCTCTTTGGGGAATTTTCTCCCTCCTAAAAAAAAAGCTTCTTATGTGTTCCAACTTATTTTATCCTAGCAAATTATAAACTGTGTTGTTTATTTGAATAAATGTCATAAGAAATCTCTTTTTTTGGGAGTACTGTGTGAGTAATTAGAGTAGGTTTGGTCTCAAGCATATTAACAGAAAATCCATCATGTGTTTCTGGAGTATGAGTTTTAGACCCTGGCAGAGCTGCGTCTTCCAGAAAAGCTTTTATTTTGGCAAAATTTAGGTTTATTTTTTTTCTTTTTGGGGGTAAAATAAATGTTAGCTTTTTTGCACCTGGTTTTATTTGCAGATTGTACGTTAAAGATGTTTTTATGTCTGTAGATCACATTTTGTCTGGAGTCTTAACTGATGATGATGCAAGATAAATGGATCGAAGATGGGCTTTTTAAAATCTTTTAGTCTCAGCGTTGTCCTGCAGTAACTTTAACCTAGTCCGCTCTCTGGGGCTCACTCTTCACCGTCTAGTAGTTCACAACCATTTCACCTTTTAAGTTTGAAGTTAAAGCAGCTACCTTCATTAAAAATGAGACATCCAAAAACTTTGAATACTTTTCTACATATCTTTTCTTTTATGCTATCAAAAAGTGTTTTATTTCTTAATAGTGTAAAGATGTGGGGGAAATTAGATGTTTGTTTTGGAGAAAAAAATATTAAAGTGCAAGATGTTGCAAATGTTCTGGTATGGGTGGTTTGATTACATACACCGCATTTGTTGTTGCAACAATTTTCCACTTTTATTTGAACATAAAACTATTTGTACAATAATCACTTGTATTACTAATCCTTCAAAATAAAAGCCAACCTATATGCAGCTGAGCGTTCTTCCACAGGGGGGTGACAAACTGCATGTTAACCTAAACCTGCTAGTTTGGCTGATTTTTAGTGTTTTGGTAAAAGAAAATGGCTGCGATGCAACTTAACTTTATATTTAAGATAAGACTTCTTTTTCATGGTAAGAGTGGAGGTGTTTAAGGAATGAATTCAAACATTGGTTTGACAGAAAACACAAAAGCGGTATAAAACATTTATTCAAAACCAGGAAAATTCAAACATTTCAGTGTAAAAAATATTACAAAAGTGAAGTGGTTTGGGGCTGAAAGGTGACGAGTTTTTTTTAGTTTCAATACTCCGTCATTAAGAGCAGCTTTATACAAAGTACCTTAATGCTGAACTTTATTTACAACAACATACGGTCTAAAAAAAATCACTTTTGCAACAAGTAACTTGACATTAAGTCATGTAAACATAGATGCACGTGAGGTACTGCTTTATATGAAAAATGTGTGCGAGGAGTTGCTGGTTTTTCTACCACAATTCTCTAGAGTTAAATGAAAATTTGAACCAACTCACAGTTGACTTCATTTAATGTGCAACAGTTTCCTGTAAAACATGTAAAGGATGTCACTTCAAAGTGACAAATGTTCACGTGACCTAAAAAAAAGGCTAAACTGTCAACAGCTACATGTGGGAACTAGTCTTCGATTTTCAGCCAGCCTTTTTTATAATCTATCATCAGTTCCAGGTAGTACTTCCATTCAGGCTCGCTATCATAGCGGACCTCAAATATGGTTTTCAGAGGGTTGCTGTGGGCCTCGTGGATGCGCAGCACCTCCCCTCTGTACCACACTTCTGATTTGTCATCCTCCTCATACAGGTGACGGATCTTCTTTCCCACCAAGTCCGGGTAGTAGAGCCTCATGGCCCTACGAGCCGTCTGGACGGCTGAGCGCAGCACCCAGCGCCTCCTGTGTTCGGCGCTGTGGCAGGCGGACAAGTAAGGACAGTATTTGATCTTCAGGAGGGATCTGGGTTTTGTTTTAGAGGGGCCTCGGAGGGGCCTCAAGGTACGAGAGAAGCTCCCTTTTCCTTTCCAGCCGCGAACTAACTTGGGTGTTCTGTGCAGGCTCGAGTTGCTCCACACGTCCTCTACATCAGTTTGTGGCACCGACGTCTCGCCCACAGTCCCAGACTCAGACACTGCTTGGTAGCAGGCCTTTTTTCTGCTAAGCCCCCCTCCGAGCATCTTCCTGAGCTTGAGGATCACGCTTGAGCAGCCCTTAGGTTGGACCTGGCATGCTACGGGCTGATCATCAGGAGTCAAACTCGAGAAGTTCTCATTTTCTGTATCACTGGGCGCAAACTCGTCTAACGTTAATGGACAAGTCCATGAATTATCCTGTGGAGCCACTTTGAAATCCAGCTCTGCAGCCACGTGGTCATTTTCTTTAATCTCATCGCCGTTTGATTCGGTTGGAGAACCTTCATCAACTATCTCCACACCATCTGCCTCGTCCTCATCAGACAGGTTTTTGTCTACGAGACTCAGACTTCGTTTTAATTGTCCCTCGTTGGGCGTTTCCTGGTCATTCGTGCATTTCTCATGTTGGCTCAACTCTGACGGCAAGGCTGGGGACGCAGTGTCTGAAAGCACAGCAGCGCTGCTGTCGGAAGCTTCACCGCTCCCGTCTTGTTCTTTGACACAAGAATCCACATTTATTCCTGCAACACAAGGAATACTGCAGTCAGGAGAAGGTCTGAACAACCGTCAAAACATTTGATTCAATAGGAAAAATCTGGCTGCTTTCTCAAAGGGAGGGGGAAAAAAGGATTAAAGCAGTTAATAGGATTTATTTAGTGCTCAGGAAGATGACAGAAGGTTGAAGAAAGCAATTTTCAGAATTAAGGATTCAAAGGAAAAACTTTGCTTTGTTTCCCAAGATTCCTTAAAGACAGAATAAAGCAGAGCTCCAAGGGCATCTTCTCCAGTGCACCAAAACAATAAGATGATCCCGTGATCCTCCACCACGGAACACTGTTTCAGCATAGACAGAGGGAGATAAGCTGTCTGGAGTAAAAACAAAGGCTGGGAACAAAGTCAGCTGCTACAGAGGATGCTACTAGTCAGGGGATAAAACAGTGGTGAGGAGAGAGCAGGACAGGAGCAGAGTTCAGTCTCCAGAGTCGAGCGTTTCCAAGCCGTGTGAAGAGAGATTCCATTAAAAGCCCCATTCAGGAAGTGGATGCATGTGCATAAAAGTCTGGTGTCTAATAATATCACATCTCACCCGCGGATAAATTCATCAATAAGTTGAGTGTTTCCACATTAATCAGCCAACCTCACGGCCCCTTCCTGCACAAGTGCACAAGTAAAAAATATCATGCAGCTTCTTTTGGTTTGTGCTTGAAGAGTAGCAGAAAAGATTTCCTGCTTTCTAATCAGACAAAAAGCAAATCGATAACATTCATAAAATACATAGATGCACATATTATATATACCTGGACTTTCTGTTGGACATCAGGTGAGGTTGATTCTGTAAAAAAATAAATGAATTTTATTTGGAATAAGTATTCTTAACTTTACAAAAGGGCCAACAAATGCAGAAAATCTGATGCCTGAAATAAAACAAATGAAGAATGCTGGATAGGAATAAATGCAAGAGCTAGGCCTCAAATGTTCCAACTCTTTTGGCTTTAGATCTCACCGTGCACCCTGAGGGGATTTCCCAAAATCTACATTTTTTTAAAAGCCTTTGAAGGAAGGAAGTTCTGCTTGGTGATCAAGCTGCACTGATAAAACACAGCCAGCCAAATTAATCACTTTTCAAACTAAAAACAAAGATATAAACATTTGTATTACATTTGCAGAAAAATATTATTTCACTGCCACTGAAGCAGACTTTAAACCTACATAATATAAACACAACCCATTAACTCTTGGCGTCATATCTATTTAAAAAAATAGGATAAATTGGGAGAACTACTTGAGTGTGACATTATGCCCTTTTTTGGTGTTGCTTTGCTAAAATATGGAAAACCTCTGAAAGAGTCTGTGCACCATCATAAATGTCACGTTTTTCAAACGTTTTAGCTTTTGACCCATAAAATGAAAGTTAGAGACTCAAAAATGCCTTAAATTATATTGTTTGTTTCCATATATTGCAATCAGAGCGCACCATGTACTTTTAAAAGTTCATTTGATTCCCCGGTCATATACAAACACATCCAAATAATTATCAACAAAGAACAAATTGTAATAAACTGAAAGAATTTTTAGAATTTAAGTTTTGAGCTATTTTAGCTTCGATTTTTTCATTAATAAAATGTCTTGTATACCAACTCGTGAAACTTTTGCACTCTTTTCTCTTCGTGCGCTCTTTCATTGAAAATTAAATCATGCACTCCTCACTCGTCTCAGTTCGCTTTTAGCGTTGGACAAACAAGAAGCAGAGTCCAACACTTCCTCGTGGGAGTGCTGCAGCAGCTTTAATGTTAAGTCCATTAAGGAAGTACCAGAGAAATACATTTCCACGAAGCATCCCAGGTTTGGAAAGAAACCAGAAAGTGTTAAAACATCATGAATGAAACCAGGATGATGCACTTAGCAATTCTCTTGTAAGGAAACCTGATCTGTTCTACACAAGACAAAAAACAGGTGTCGTTTGGAGAGTCTGGGGTGCACGTGTACTCACCCAGATGTTTGCAGACACATGTGTAATACAGCAGGTTGACCGCCTCAGCGTAGATGTCCGGCAGGTGTTTGAGGGACATCAGCCTCCTGAGCCTGGAGGAGCAGGCTCGTTTATGAAGCTGGATCAGGATCTTCTCTTCAGAGAGCGTCGTGGGCCGCAGCTCCACTTTGTGCTCCTGCAGGACCCGGTCTATGAAGCTGCTCTGGACCATCGGAAACAGCAGCTCCTTCACCACCAGCATGGGGAGGAACACGGCTCCCGTCCGCATGACGTGAGGAAAAGGACAGTGCCTATGAGCGGTGTACTCCCTCAGCCTCTCCAGGACCTGGCAGAGGGCAGATCTGACCTCCTCGTTGATCCACGCCTCGCGAGCTTTTACTCCCAACAAGCAGGAAACCTTCTGGACCTTCTCCGACTGAGATATGTGTTCGGTTATTTCCAGCTCAGACAACCAGTTTTTGAGGCCTCGCTCCGAAGAGGCAGACACAGATTTGGTCACCAGATTGCAGAGCGACTGGTGCAACTCCAGAAAGTGCTTGCGGACCGGTGGTTGGTCTTGTTTTGATGCGACTACGGTAACAGGCATTGGAGACGGCTTCTCCTGCGGGTGTGGGAAAGTCCTGCAGTGTTTGCCGTTTGGTACGATGATGTTGTAGGTGGACAGCTTAAGGCAATGCGGAGGAATGCTTTTGAAACTGACTTCGCTCACAGGCAGCGGAAGTGGAGTCGTGGCGTTGGGGTGAAGTGTGGCCATCTGTCTGTGCAGCGTGCTTTCCTCAGAAGATGGGTTTGTTTGTGTCATCAGATCAGCAAGTCTCAACTCCCCTGAAGTTGCATTTGCACCTGCATGTAAGAGTTTATTCTCAACTTCATCCGATTTATGCTTCTCTTTCAACAACACGGGCTCACCCTCAGTTGAATCAGTCTCTTTGGGCTCTGCTTTGATTGCTACTCTGTTGTGGTCATTGTGGCTTTCTTCACATTCATCTTCATCTACTTTTTCTAATTTAATCCTTGTAGGTTTAAGAACTTTAAAATGAGCTTCGTCTGCTGGAGGATCTGAGATTTCTTTAGAAACCAGACTGACAACGGGCTGCTGATCCTGTTGATCAGGCCTCTCTTCTTTGGTGTTTTGATCAAGTTCGTTTGCGCGCTGCTCAGAAACCCGAGGGTCTTCTTCCGGCTGTTTTATTCCCGATTCCTGCAGTTGGGATTGGTAAAATGCCAAGCTGAACACACTGTTGATAACAGGCATAGGGGGAGAGTCTGTTTTATTCCACTCTTTGACGTTCTCCATTTCCACCCTTTGTCGTTTGTTGGTGCATTCCGCCTCATATGAATCCTCGTCCTCGTCTTTTATTTTCATAGGTGGAAATGAGGGAGAAGTGCTTCTCTTTAAGCATTTTTTATAATCAGCGGTTCCTGCATGGGACACAAGGCCATTGTGTTTACTTCCCGTTGTAACAACAGGGGAGTAGATAATTTTTCGGACATTTGCGTTGTTGGGCACAGCTGTGTGGATTCGATCTGAACCGTGACCGGGTGACTGGTGCAGCCAGGCTGCTGGGGAAACAGGAAGACTCTTTGGCTGTTTTACATGAGCCTCACATGAGGACTGGTCCAAGACTCTGTCCACAATAACACCGGCTGATGGGACGCCTGGAGCGTCTATGTGCACACCGGTGAACGGCTGGTAAAACCTGCCAGCTTGAATGCTGGACGGTGACAAGTCCGACTGGTTTCCACGTCTGGAGGGACTATTCTGGTCCACTCTGGAGCCATGATGCCGGTCAGCATGCAGGCTGGAGCTCGCTTTATCCTTGGCTATGGGGTGATCTATATGTTGGCTGGACTGGGCCATGTTACTGTGACTCGGGTGGAAAGCTGACAGTGAATGTTGCCTTTCTAAAGGAGCTTGGATATGATTTTCACTCAGATGGAACCTTGGAAGTGTGTAACACGGATATTCAAACTCTCGAATAAAAGAATGATTTGGTAATATTTCGGTGCACGACAAAGGGATTTCAGCGCGATGTGGCCGAGACACTACATAGTGCTCCCGTGGGCTTGAGACTCTGTGTTTATGAAGAAGAGGGGTCCCCTCCCCCTGCTTACTGCCGCTATCCTTCCTCTGTGTCCTGCTTTCTACCTCTCCGTTTGCTTGGGAGTAATAAAACACTGGGCGCTGCGCTAGCTGGCCATATTTGGACATGGGAGAGCATTCCTGATAAACCTCTGAGGTCATATGCTCATACGCAGGATGAGGAGCGTATAAGCCGGCGTAGCCTCCAGGGAGAGTCTGTAAAGGCTGGCTCCTGTGATCTCTAATGGCACCAAACAATGTGTGAGTTGGGGTGCAGGAGAAGCTGCTGTAGTTTGGTTCCATCACTGAAGGAAACGTCCTGGCTCTATTTGGGCTGTACGCCTCCACATTCAGCCTCTTCAGCTGCTCTGCGTGGCACTCAAACTGTAAATCTTTGTGTTTCAGCAGCGTGTCTTTTCTCTGGGCGGGAGGTTTCTCCGTGTAGTGTCCATTGCTTTGCACCCAGTCGTGCTCATATACAGAGTTTGGTATCCTTGCAGAGACGTGCTCCACACTGTACTGTTGTCCCATCGCACAGCCCACCTCATTACAGCAGGGGTTCATTCTGTAAACCGGTTTAGGGATTGCGATGTAAACAGAGCTTTGAGATGGAGAGGACGAACTCTCGCCTCCTGTTTTTGGTTTTCTCATAACTACCGATGAAGCAACCACTGGACTGTTGATCTCTGGACTTTTAGTGTACGGCACAAAACCCTGTTTTACTGGGGTGTGACACGCAGAGGCAGGGTGAGATTGGCCGTCCTCTGCAGAAATGCCGTCTTTCCTGTATACCATGTGGTTTTGTACCACCATACCAGAAAGGTGACTCTCAGGACTTCTGTCATCCAGCGGGGATGTCTTTGAGCTGCTCCAAGGAGGAGTAAAGGCCGCACTGTCTGTCACCCAGGGTTCATAAGTAAAATAGGCTCCATTGTACTGCGGGTTTTGTTTTCCCAGGAAACCAGGTATAGTTTGTGGTTTTGAGAGTCCTGCAGATGTGATTGTTCCATCAAAAAAGGGCATCTTGTTGAGAAACACTGGATCTGTGAGGGTCTGCATCGACTCGCGGCTCATTTTCTGGTAATGGCGTTGCAGTTCGGCGATTAGGGCTTTAGACCTGGAAATGAAAAAAAAAAAAGTAAATAAAGCCGTCCCTCTGAGACTCCCACTTCCAAAACAAAGACTCACAGCAGGAACAAAAACACTTTCCACATAAAAAGAAACAGATAAAAACCCGCTCGAGGCGTTTTCACAACCTTGATGAATCTCATGGCTTATCACACACATGCATGCGCATACTTATCAGCTGATGCGCATGAATGATCGAAACACTGCAACAAGCTGCTGTGGAGTTTGCAATCTGAGGAATGCTGGAGGATGATTTATTATTTAGTACTCCTGCAAGGACATGAATCACTGAGCAATGCTGGGATTTAGGAACTCTTCTACAAAGCCTCCGGTCATGCTGCTTTTGATCAAGGTGCAATTAGTTTGACCCATAATTATCAAGTTGCCATGGTGTATTTTAGACGTTACCATCACTCCTTCTTCGGCCAAACCAAAGTGTAAAATGCCTGTCTCCTCTTGTGTTTTGGACACCAGATGACTGGACCCGTTCAAAGTTTCTCTTCTGCTTTTTCTGACCACAAACTTTCAGTCAAATCATACTTCAGGTTTTTTTTTTTTGCATCCTTTAGTAACTGCCTCCCATGCTCTTCAGCAAAGCTGCTGGTTTGGGTTTTAAAACAGAATCTTTTAAAAAGTATATCTTCTTAAGCTCCAAACATCCGGTTCATGAGTGCGAAACCCATTACATCTACAACAGGGATTCTCAATCCTGGTCCTGGAGTGAACATGTTTTAGTTGTTTCCCTGCTTCAACACACCAGATTTTAACCAGCAGGTGATTAACAGGTTTCTGCAGAGCAGAAGAGGTGATTCAACCACTGAATCAAGTGTTTTGGAGCAGAGGAACAACAAAAACAAGCTGGATAGCAGGGCCCCCAGGACCAGGACTGCGAACTCCTCCACCAGTGTCCAAACGAAGTAGGGATCACACGAAGGTTTGCTAAAGGAAACTGGATTTCAAAAGATCACTTCTAGTGCTTGTGGTTTTAGCACCTCGTGGCTGCTGCACAGGTCATCAACTTGTAAAAGTAAAAAATACAGAAGTGCTTCTTCTCTCCTTTCTTGTTTCCTCTTACACTTTGCCCAAAAGGAGCCATTAGCGGTGTCAGAGGAGCTCAGGAGGAACAAAATGCTTCATCAAACCACTTATTAGAAAAAATAAATAACAGAAGTCAAGCCTAAATTAGCTCTTGTCTTGTTGGTAAAGATGTTCTTTTTAAATTGGACATGCATTTGATAAACTGAGGCTTTTTCTGATAAATCCATGTTGTTTGTTGATGTAAGTTGGAGTAATGTGAGATAGAGAATTTAACAGGATGACATTTTACATGCAGAAAAACAACTTTGATGCAAATTGTTTGGTTAAAGTCTGGTAACCAGTTAGACAATTCTCTGCTCCAACACCTGTTGGGAATTCAATAGGTGATTAACTGGTTTCTGCCGAACTTGGGTATGCTCGGCTGGTAGATTAACCACTGGATGAGTGCGATGTGAACTAAAATCATGCAGGTCAGGGATCACTCCAGATAGTTTTAGGAAATAAATTTCACTAATACAGGTTTTGAAGCAAAATAATGCCTAACATTAGTGGTGGTTTTTAGACTGCTAAACCCACGTGCACTAAATACCTTCAAATATCAGATCATGCGAGTGTGTGTGCTGAAACAGGTATGGCCTCCTCATCCAGGGGAGTAGCACAGATCTTATCAGTCCATCCTGTTGACACCTTTCAGAAAAAAACACTTTCTACAGCTTATCTGCAGAATGAGGAGGGGTGTGGTTTCACTGCATGGAGGGAAACGACGCAGGAAGGAGCGCTCCGTCATGTTTGGCGTGCGCGCGCGCGCGCGCTCCGGCTCCCATGATCTGTAGGGCAAGGGTGATGGAGTGCGAGTGACTTCCGAAAGAAAACCGTCCAAACAGACCACAAACCACGCGAGAAGATGGGGAGCGGGGTTACGTCTCTGCTGTTTGACTCTAATGAACAACTCGTTTCACATGACATCGTCCAAGAAAGATGACTCGCGTATAAATATGAAACGGAACTCGCCAGAGAGATTTTCCTGGCATCCGCATGGTTTGCATGTTTTGAGGAATGCGTAAACGCGACCTCGTTGTGCTGCCTGCGCAAAACAGCGCAGCTCCGTTCAACAGGACGCAAATAACATGGAAATCATTTTACGCCTCGGCTCGAGTGAGTTTGTGCTGCTCTTTTCCACGCAGGAGTTTCAAAAGGCTCCTTAAGCATTGGTTAAAAGAAACTTAACTGCGGATGACAAAACACACACTTTCACACGGCACCTGTGGGGTTTTGGTAGTTTCGCTGTTTCCCAAATTTAAGTCGTTTGTTTCCCTACTTTTCACACGTTCCGGCGCGAGCGTTTGATGAAAATGTCTTACCTCGCGTGCTGTTATCAATAACCTCCACATGTATTCCGTAAAGATGCTTATAAGTCACATGAGGTGAAGCTCTGGTCTGTTTCTGGAGTTTTCCATCCCCGATGCGAATAAATCCCGCCAAGTTGACAGAGAGCATGCCAAAAAGTTTGCGCAGCTGGTCCGAAATCCACGAGGCATTCGGAGAAATTAACAGAGCGGAGAAAAGACAAAAGGGTGGAGGAGGATGGTCTTTGATCAATAGGCGGGGTTAGTCGGAGCCCGACTCTAACCTCTGCTTGTTTTCGTCACAGGGGACGTTTCTCCCACTGGTGACTCCCTCGTTTTTATTGGCTGTATCTCTACCATGCCAGCTGCCAGCTGGCACCTGAAAGTGAAGTTGGAGTCATGTGTTTGTTGGCTCTCGCGCGTGTGCCCTCGGCTGCTCTCCTGTCACGCCTTCCTCCGTTTCCGAAAACCACAAAGTCCGTATCCTTCAGGGAACCGGTGTCTTCAACGAAAAGTATTCCCAGACGTAACAGTTCACATAGCCTATTTGCCCGCGCGTTGCTATGAAAAGGCCGTGAACCAACCTGTTGTACACGGCTCAATGAACGACCTCAGTTTGGAGAAATGTGGATCAGTTCTGACCGGCCATTAAAGTGAATCACAAAGGGTCCAAATGGTCAGTTACAAAACATGTTTGTCATTTTTTACTTTCTTGTCTGAAAAGTTTCACAGATCTAAATGTCAGTTCCATTTTATGATCAAAATATAAGCAATGCAGGGTGATTTCAGTGCTGAAATCATAGTCAGAAGTGCTTATGCTGAACTAGAAAGTTCAGTTAGATAGTGGGCAGTACATACTGAAATCACTACAAACAAGCTGTATTTTTGTGTTTGAGTAAGACCTTACCAAAGGATGGCCATTGGGGTCAAAAGTCCATGGGAGCGCAATTTTCCAACTTGTATGTAAGATAGTTCAACCTCCAGCAAAATGACAAGCACATCAGACTGTTTCATCACTGGCCATGAGTGAAGAGGTAAATGTGTAAAAGATTTATGAATGGTGACATATTTGTAACCTCTTTTTACAAATCAGTAAATGTGCTACGTCCTCACGGGCTCACGTAGAACGAAACATCACGTCTAAAATGGTGTCGCCCAGAGACTAAAGCCTAAGTTATACCCAAGGGTACCCCCCGGTCACATTCAACATGCCAGGGTCAAATTTTGGGTGCAAAGCAATTACCTGCCAGGACAACAGAGGGTGTAGCGCTTATCTGGGGTAGCCCCCATTACAGTCAGTCAAGATAACGCGTTTACATTGTTTTATTGTATTTCAGAGACTTTTTAACACATACAAATCTGTCCCAAGTTCTCTTCCACCTCTTCATGTGATCTGCACCTCTAAACAGAGATGTGACCAAGTCACCGCTTTGCAAGTCACAAGTAAGTCACAAGTCTTTCCAGTCAAGTCCAAGTCAAAGACAACCATGTCCAAGTTGAGTCCAAACTCAATGATGTGGAAGTCCAAGTCTTTAACTTTGGATTTTCAAGTCATAATCAAGTCATCTGTCCAACTTCAATTTAATGACAATGCAAATTAATAAATTCCAGAAATAAAGCTTGATCTGTCTGCCCCAATCTGAACTGCTATGCTTGAGGTGTTCTGCAAACATAAAAAATAAACCCGAAACGTACATTTAGCAGAGCGCTGCCACACGGGCTTCTGTGTGTCGAGACACGCCCAGTGGAAACAAGCACACTGACTTAACGGCAAATTTTCACTGCCTTTGCAGAGGTCATACACCAATTACATTTCCGGCTGGGACAGCAGTAGCTCAGAAGGTAGAGTGGGTTGTCCAGTAATCGGAAGGTTGCAGGTTTGATCCTGGCTCTGACCAGAGAATTCTGCTGTTTTGTCATTGGGCAAGACACTTAACCCGCCTTTCCTGGTGGTGGTCGGAGGGACCGGCGACGTCAGTGCTTGCCTCTGTCAGTGCACCCCTGGGCAGCTGTAGCTACATTCTAGCTCATCCCCAGTGTGTGAATGGGTGAATGATGGATTGTGTTACGAAGTGCCTTGGGCGATTGTAGTACCCCAAGAAGGTGCTATACATATACAAGCTATTTACTTACATGTCCAGGTGATGTGTTCAACATCACAAAAGTACTCACAGGTGACCCAGTCATCATACATACCAACTCCTCCACACCTGGACTAGTTGGAATTGTAACATTAAAAATAAATGACAGAAGATTTATTCATTCAGAATTTGACACATATTTAGTGTGTTTATTTTTACTCACTTCTTGTCACTTTCATTCCTCTTTCCTAGTAATGCAAATAAGATGGTGATATCAATCAGCAACTTATCGTGGCTTTTAGCCAATAGCTATTTCTGAACTGAGTGTTTGGCTCTGTTTGGCCCTTTCCTATCGTCATGTCTAACCTTCATGTTAAACTCAGAGTGACCGATTATAATCAGAAAAAATTCTGCAGGACTATTTTTCTGTGTTCCAGAATGGGTTTGTTTATTCAGAGGAGAGATCCAACATTCAAGTCAACAAAAATGGCTCATCAGGGTCAACATCCACATTATTTAGATTTTTTTTATTTCATGAATAGAAAATATAATTTGCAACAGACTTGTTTTGAAATATGACACTCATATTAATTCACTTAATAACACACGTAAAATGTACACTAATATAGATAACAAGGCTAGTGAATGGTACCCACTAGCCTTGAGTGTGAAAAAGTCATTAAAATGACTCAATAGTGATTCTAATTCTGCTTGGTGACCTCAATAATCATATTGACTGCAAGTGAAAATAAGTAACATAAAGGATTCACAGGTGCCATTTTAGACTTGGGGCTACTTTATGACAAAGCACAGCTGTAAATTTATGCAAGGATCATGACACATTAGCCCCACACCTGTTTCTACACTCACCTAAAGGATTATTAGGAACACCACCCTAATACGGTGTTTGACCCCTTTCGCCTTCAGAACCGCCTTAATTCTACGTGGCATTGACTCAACTCGGTGCTGAACGCATTCTTTAGAAATGTTGGCCCATATTGATAGGATAGTATCTTGCAGTTGATGGAGATGTGTGGGATGCACATCCAGGGCACGAAACTCCCGTTCCACCACATCCCAAAGATGCTCTATCGGGTTGAGATCTGGTGACTGTGAGGGCCGTTGTAGTACAGTGAACTCATTGTCATGTTCAAGAAACCAATCTGAAATGATTGGAGCTTTATGACATGGTGCATTATCCTGCTGGAAGTAGCCACCAGAGGATGGGTACATGGTGGTCATGAAGGGATGGACATGGTCAGAAATAATGCTCAGGTAGCCCATGGCATTTACACGATGCCCAGTTGGCACTAAGGGGCCTAAAGTGTGCCAAGAAAACATCCCCCACACCATTACACCACCATCACCAGCCTGCACAGTGGTAACAAGGCATGATGGATCCATGTTCTCATTCTGTTTACGCCAACTTCTGACTCTACCATTTAAATGTCTCAACAGAACTCGAGACTCATCAGATCAGGCAACATTTTTCCAGTCTTCAACTTTCCAATTTTGGTGAGCTCATGCAAATTGTAGCCTCTTTTTCCTATTTGTAGTGGAGATGAGTGGTACCCTGTAGGGTCTTCTGCTGTTGTTGCCCATCCGCCTCAAGGCTGTGCGTGTTGTGGCTTCACAAATGCCTTGCTGCATTCCTCAGTTGTAACGAGTGGTTATTTCAGTCAAAGTTGCTCTTCTATCAGCTTGAATCAGTCGGCCCATTCTTCTCTGACCTCTAGCATCAACAAGGCATTTTCGCCCACAGGACTGCCGCATACTGGATGTTTTTCCCTTTTCACACCATTCTTTGCAAACCCTAGAAAAGGTTATGCGTGAAAATCCCAGTAACTGAGCAGATTGTGAAATACTCAGACCAGCCCGTCTGGCACCAACAACCATGCCACGCTCAAAATAGCTTAAATCACCTTTCTTTCACATTCTGAGTTCAGGAGATTGTCTTGACCAGGACCACACCCTTAAATGCATTGAAGCAACTGCCATGTGATTGGTTGATTAGATAATTGCATTAAGGAGAAGTTGGACAAGTGTTCCTAATAATCATTTAGGTGAGTGTATAAACACAAATGCTCACATTGTCGGCAAACCATCATAAAACACACACACGCATGCATCTAAACTGCATCTGTATTTGAAGATATTGTATTTTACATTGTTGAATATATGTTAATTCCTCTTTTCTTGACAAAATGATGAAAAAAGCTTAACAGTTAATGAGCTTTTTCATAACAAAGGGCAAAACTGTTCAGAAAGTGTTTCTATTCCTCTTTCATCAGTGTGCTTCAGGGACCGTTTTCATAGTCAAACTGACAGTAAACACAAAAAAACTGATCACATTTGAGGTTTTTATTTTTTATCTAAAGAACAAATTTATGCAGAAATAGTTGACAAGGAACAGAGTTGCACCCATTGGGCAAGTGTATCAAATCACAAAATATAGTTTTGTAAAACCAAACCACTTAAGCATAACTGTGTTTATTTTTTAATAAAGGGGAAATGTAATTTTTCAAACAATTACATAATTTCTGTGTCTTAAACCCTTTTTTGTACTCTGTTATAAGGAATCTTACATAAATTCTGTCTTTTCCAGTTGAAATTGGAGGAATTTGTTATGTTTGTTTCTGTGTCCCTCCCACTAGGTTTTAGGAACACAATGTATAACTATAGGGATAGCTTGTAAAGACCTAACTCTGCTGTGAAAGAAAGCTCTGTTTGCTCATTGGTTGACCTCATCCTAATGTGGTTAATGGTTGACTTCAGCTGGGCAAAGTTAAAATCCAGTCAGCCATTAACCACATTAAACCTATACGTGAGTATTTGGATAAAACCTGATTATAGTAATAATGTGTCATTTATTAACCTGGAACTTGCAAATAAAAAATTCTTTAGATATTTGAATGTAAATATATAAATTCCTATTTATTTTATTCTTTCCTTTAAATGAGTCAACCTTTTGTTGCACTTGCATCATTTCTGTCCCTTGTCACCTGTGAGCTATAGAGTCTAATTTATGTGCCGCCCCTCCCTGAGGACATGTCACAGTTTAGTCTAGACAAGTTGGTAGTTTCCATCAGTCCCAGTGGACTCACCAGTAAAGAGATGCTCACCTGAAGGGGGTGGCAGCAGTGGGAGTTTGACGGAGGAGGCAGGGGGGCTCTTTGTCCCCAATGGAGCCTTTTTGTCTCCCTTATTTCCAGTTACCATAGCATCACAGCTCAAGGCCAACCAACACAAG